ACCTTTTCGCATTACGAAAATGTCGCTCGGTTTCTGCTTGTTTGACTCTTGTCTGCCAGCCAGATCCGCCAGCCAGAGTCAGCCTCCTCTTCTGGGCCACAGCCACTCCCCCTCGGCTGTTGGGGCATGTCAGAAGTGGCTGCGATTTATTTGGCAGCCATTTACATATTTTATTGTCAGCTAATGTCACAGGAAAGGTGTTTTGCGGCGAAGGGGGCGGACGGATGTGAGCCGGGTCGGACTATTCCTAGTGTCCCATTTTCGGGGTAATATACCGTCGGATTAGGAGTGGAATACTCGTAATTTGAGAGTAATTTAGTGCCTAATGGCGTGGGCTGGAGATAAACAATAGCAACACCTAAGCCGTGGCATCATAAATATTCCCATCAAACACTGCATCAGCAATTAAATCAAGTTTTGTACTTTGTTTCAATTATACAGACATTAAAAGTGACTTCCATCCCCATAGTTGCACGCTTATCTCCCCAGTTAGGTCAAAATGTGAGGGTTTTGGCCAGAAAAGTTGTCCGGACAACTATTCTCCATCGCTTATCTTGACAGACAACAAATTCCGTTTGGAAACAACTTCTGCATAATTATTTGGAGCTTGCCACACAGCCTTTGACCCGTCATCATCCCTTTCGGGACCTGGCCCATTAGGTCCACAAAAAGTTGTCGGAAAACAGCATTTTTCTGCTTTGTTTTTGTTTAATTAAATTGAAAATGTTTTTCCAGCCCATGGCCCATAATCCACAGACTGTAGCTTCTCTTTTTTTTAATAAACCAAATCGATGTCTGAGACATGGGAGTAATTGAACAAATTGCCACAAAGTGCGGGCCTTATTCCGGCAACAGGGCCAATGATTTTCAACAAAAACTGCCAGCTCGGAAAATGCTTTCAATTCGGCAAGCGTTGAAACAGAAAAGCGCCCGCTCAACCCCCCATCCACTGGGAGAGCCACTTATTGATGACCTTCGAGGTAAGCGGAGCGTTGCGTATACGCCGTGATGGACGTGGCGTATGCTCATTCAATCATCCACTGATTCATTGACAAAGCTGTCAATGGCTATTGATTTATGATCCCGGCTCCTGGCTGACGCGTCTCCCTTTAAACCGGCCCGGAACAGCTCATTCAGAACGACAGACTGCCATAATTCGGCCCAGGATGAGTCCTGCTCCTAATGACATCTACTCCGAGTGTGGCGGCACTGGGGTAATTACCTTTCGACGCAAAGATTAACGTTGTTTCTTGGCCAGCTCTGGCATTTCGCACATAATTGGGCCCTCAGCAGGCTGAATTATTCGTGCGTGAGTCTCTTTGTGGTACAGATTCTCAAAGTATCAGATGCACAGATGCAGATAAACAGATATAGAGATACACAGATACACAGATAGGGAGATGCATTATCGGGCGAGTAACCGAAACGACAGCACGTTCGCCCACATAAGCTGCTGATTTGGCCAACAGGCCAGCACTAAAGATAATTAGTTGGCCAAGTCTCTTCGGGTTTGGCTTAAAGCTGCCTCAGTATAAGATAGTTGGTTAAAACAATGAAAGGATTAATATTTAACTTTAATCCAAGCAATGTTATTGTTTTAAAACCCATCTGTTTGGAGTGTAAATTTGCGAATGAAAATCAAAAAGCTGCAAAGCTATAGGGTTTCTTCAGTGCGGGATCTGATAGACGACACCCCCCTGTGGGTGCAAGGATTTTAATTAGTTTGTTGCCTGCAGGTGTTATTTTCACGCTCTGGTCGAGCATTTGCCAAATTCCCACACGCACAACCCAACACCCATTACAAGCCCCCTCGGGGGACAATAGGGGGTGTGCGTGGTGCCATTTTGTGTGCAGAACGCTTTTGACCCTGTGGCGATTTTGGCCAAATGTGCAACGACCACAACAATAATAACAGACGCTGCAGTGTGCCCTGCATCCTGTTATCCTGCCACATTTTCAAATTCAATTTGCAACACTCCGAAGTGAATCATTAATTCTCATTAAAGTTGCATCAGTTAGTTGTTGGTTTAATAATGTGAGGCTGAAGGGCGGAAGTGAGATCGATCAGGACTAGGCTTCTGCCAGGACTAGGCAGAACCTGAAAATCATCCTGAAAACAAAAAATAAATGAAATAAAATCCCAAATGAATTTGCAACCGAAACCGAACCGCATAGACAAATAATTCCCACAAACCAACAAACGTGTCCTTGTGTGGCGCATCTCCAATCAGGACTCGCATTGTTTATTGTTTCTGACCCCGCCCCCATGTCACAACGCCCCTTGTCGCCCCCGTCGTCGAATAATTGAAACAATTGTAAATTACACATTTATTGAAATTGTTTTGCCGCCGATGCTCTAGCTGGGAGAGTTTTAAATGCGGTTTTGCTTTGGCTTCTAGTATATTTTACCTTTTTTATGCAAATATTCACCTGGGATTTGACCAGCACGAGCCCCACACATGTGTTTACATTCCAAAGTTATCGATTAAATCGATAATTGCATTAAAAGCCGGGCTGTGGATGGGCAGGCCACTGCGCTTTTCGGTTATCTGTGGGATGGTTTCTGATATAATTATGGAAACTGGTTTAAAAACAAACTACTAATACTTTTGTTTGTTTTTCGATTAATATTTGATTAGATTGGACTGTCATCTGAGCCAATTTGGCTTGTTTTGGCCAAACATTTGACTCCATTTCAGTTTCTTATTTGCCAGCAATTTCCTTTGCTTTTATTTATACGCCAGATATAGCCAAATATATACGTGGCTGGTGCACATATCGGAGGTGTGGGTGTGTGCAGCGCTTTGGCTTTTTATTCAGCTGGGTACTGGTTACTGGTTATATGAGAATTGGGGATTTTCGTGCATTTGACACGTTTGGCACGGCCACGTTCTGTTTATGGCGCTGCCAGTGGGTGCTCGTGTATGCAAAAAACTTTGGGCTATCCCCCGGATACAGAAGGGACGGAGAGCTGTCATCAAACATGCAAACTGCATTCGAGCAAATTGCCAAGTGAACGGAAAGCCACTGCCTCCCCCACCTCCCCAGCAGCTGGAGTATTTGCCTTTCAAACTCAATCAGAGCCGAGGGAGCTCTCCTGGTTGGGATGTAAAAAAATCTATCAAATGTTCTTAACCGAAACACACAATACGAAACTTTGTCTAACCGAGATTAACTTTGCAGGGAAAGTTTACAAATAACATCCCGAAGATACTAGCACTCGGGAGAGCAACAAAATGCGGGCAATTTGCCAGCCAATAGGCAGCAATATACCAGCCAGGGGATAGAGGACTTCATCGATCTGGTGTCCCGCCAGGAGGACTCCGATCCACCAGCTGGAAGATGTTCTCTCCGCTGCTGTTGAGTGGGTTTTCCAAGTTTATTGTTTAGCCACCAAGGGGGGGAAGCTCCACATAACTTGTTCTGGGATGTGTGTTGGTGGGGGGGCTATGCATAAATGCCAGTTCCCCCTCCACTTCCCCTTCAGCCAACTGGCCACACTTCAAGCCATGGAGAAAAGTTTCCACTCGCACTTGCAAAAAGTGGAAAGTGAAAAGCCACCGCCGGCAAGGAAAAAGTAAAATTGCTGACAGGAAACTTCCAATCAGAAATGAATTACTTTGAAGTGAGCTGCCACAGAGGAGGTGGCTCGGATCGGGGGGGTGGTTGCCGCAGTGTCAAGCTTAAGAAGCCATGAAATAACATTAATTTGTTGCAAATTCGCTTAGCAAGTTTTTAAGTTGAAGTTGAATTAATTTGATTAGCTTATCGCCCGTTCAAAGTTGAAACTCCATCAGCATTCCGAACGGATCGGGATAAGAGTCCTCAGTACTGAGTCCTGAATGGAAAAGAATGGGAGGCTCACACTGAGAATAAATGAAGTACCAAGCCGACTTTTATTCCTTTAATATTAAACAATTTTGTGATCCTTATTCCAAGTGTAGGTAGTACTGGCATATATTTAAGGACCCTACTCGTACGACCACAATTCAAATTTTATTGGATTACACGAAATTTATGTGGCAATCAAGTTAAAAAACAGAAGAACAAATGTCTAGGCGAGTGGCTGGAAAATGTAAATGACGGAGCACCAGGACGGGATGGGGCAGGACCTGCTGTGTGCGCCATGATTTTAATAAGAATGAACTTTTTTCTCAACTCAGTCCTTGTGTCCTTCGTCCTTTTTGCTCATTGTTGAACTAAATAAGTCACATAAAAAGAGTGAATTTTCTTTTTCCACCAGGGGATGGGGGGCTGTCTTCATTCAAGGCGTTGAAAGGAAATGGGCACTGGGTGGCCCTTCTCTCGATACCCCCGCTATCTATATCGTTCCTCACATACAAGAGTATGTTTCCCAAGGAAAAAGGCAAATTATTATTATTTTTTTTTTTAATATTTTACGGCAAAATGCTTGAAATTGATAAGGCTGCCTTTTGTGTGTGCCAGTGGGTTAGGGTGTGTGTAGGGTGTGTGGTGTGTCTGGGGACCAGTGTGGGTCTCTGTGGTTCGGCATTGTTAGCTGCCACAAGCTGCATCGCTCCCCTTCGGAAAGCCATTCTTTAAAAATTTATTTTATCGGCCATCGAAACGGGGGATACACTTGTTTTTCTATAAAATAGTTTAAGTCTTCTCAGCTTTATTTAAACACTAGTCTATTCTTTTAAGTTTAAGCTTACTTTAGTCACTATTCTTAAGTCATCCTTCCTCCCCTTTCGAGTATGCTCCTTGTGAGGGAAAAGACCAAACAGAGGAAGCCACAAAAATTGTTGAAAACACAAATTTAAATTGTGTGTTTGTCTGGTTTTGTTAAATATATTTGCCAGACACACACCAGTACACACCATTGCTGACAGCAGGGGCATACTATACCTTCTCATGTACAGACACTTGTATATTGGCACTCCCCCTGGCACCTCCTGGAACATCTGATATTTAATGATTATTTGTTTGTCTGTTTGCTGATTCTGACTTCTCGTTTGTTTGCCTTCTTTACCCCGCAGATTGGATGAATCCCTAACGTCATGGTATGAAGGAGCCGGCGAGCACATTGGATGAAATTGTAAGTGCTTTGGCTAATCAGTGTCTAGTGTGGAGCGGAGCTCCCGGCTGAGCCAGCTCCCAGTGTCACATAACCCAAACGGATCCGCATCACGCCCATAAAAAGTGGGGACAGGTCTGGGGCAGGGGACTTGGCTGCGGGGTGTGGGGGAAAGTTGCGGTAAATATATGCGAAAAAGTCAAGACAATGCAACTGACACATAATGAAAGCGAAGTGCGCGGAAGTGAGAGGGCACGACTTTTTGGGGCACGGAAGTGGTGGTGTACACTTGGAAAAATTAACAGGGACTTATATAAGAATTTGTTAATATTATTGAATTTTATATGACCTTAGCTTTTATTTATTATTTTAGGTATTAATATAATAGGTCTATTGTTGACCTTTTGTAAAAGTTTTATTTGTAGGCAGTTATACTCATGTATGAGCTATAAAAGATTAAATGTTAAATAAAATATAGTGGCCACAAAGTGGTAAAAGAGATAGACTTTGAACAAATTTTAATATAAGAAGTGTTTTTGATATTTAAGAAAATATATTATGAATATAGTATCTTTGTATCTGTTTCTCAAGCTTGTTTTAATGTTCGATCTTTACTCTTCAAATTCCAGCTACAATATAGGTTAAAAAACCTTAATTTAAAACCTTTTTTATCTCAAAAATTAAGTCTAAGAAAAATTAATTTAAAAACGTATTTATTTTTGCTGGCATTTACATTTTCCGGTGTGTGGAAATTGCACGCAGTTGGCGGTTGGAAAACGGAGAAAAGTTGGAAATGCAAAGCAATCTAAATAAAATGTCAGTCCCGCAAGTGCCGGCAGGTGGCGCCAGCAGACGCCAGTGGGGGCATGCGAGGGGGACGGCATGTGAGCCAGGCCAGACCAAGCCCGGCCCGGACCGACAACGACAACGACGACGTGGCCCGAACCAACAGCAAACAATAGTTGGGGCCAAACTTCAAAGTATTAGCCAATGTGGAGTAGTATTTTGTCGGCAGGCGACAGAGAGAAGAGATGGCCCGTCGCCGTGTCAAGCGGTAATTGTTATGTAAATGAGTTTTACAATTTTTTGGCCAAAAAAAAAGGTCACCCACTGAACAGAGAGGGAGCGAGGGATGGGACTGTGGCTTAGGCCTGGTCGAAATACTTTACAGGCCAGTCAGTCAGTCAGTCAGCAGTTTTCTGCCTCGGCCCGATGAGGACAAACAAAAGTTTGGTTTTGCTTTTGTTTCGGTTCCTGGCTGCACATCCCTTCGGTCCTCCTGGTCCTTCTTCCTGGCCCTCCTTGGGTGTGCAAGCCAAGCTCTTTATAAAATTGCAAATCAGTTGGTAAGTCAACGGCAACTTGTTGTTGAGTTCCTACAGCCAAAGTGCCTGGTCTGGCTCTGCCGCAGCCATTCTCGTTTTTGTTTCTCGGCTGCAAGTATCTCCGAACGACTATGGCTGTATTTCGGCATCAAAGTTGGAGCTCCTCCTCCATTAGGGCCCAGCAGACACATTGGAAAGTTAATAACCGTTTAGCAAAGTTCGGGCGAATGAAATTCCCAAGTTAGACCTCGGGAATGCGTATTATCGAGTGCTAATAAATCGAATAATGGCATTAACAAAGTTGTCTAGATGGAGCTTCCAAAATAGGCACTCTTACTTTCTCTCTTTGTAGAAGCCGAGCCAGGACCCAGGATCTTTAAGAACCCCGCCCTGAGAAGTAACGATTGCCCCATTCCGCTGGCCGTTCAATTAGATACTCGTTCAATTATTTATTCGGAGTCTTTTTCCGCCTCAAGGACATAACTAATATTGAAATTTCCCAAGACGGAGCCGGGTGCCTGGTGTCGCCCGTTTCAGCAGTATTTGTAGTTGCCTATTTCCTTAAGTGCAACGTCAGCTTGGCATTTCGCAACTTTGTTGCCAATGCTGAGGGGAAATATAAATGCCAGGCCAGGCCATGGCAAAAGACAAACAAGCCCCACACCCACACACACACACACAAACACACATAGAAGCACGAGGGAGAGTCACGCACACACCGACAGGGACTCCGACACAGAGGGACACATGTGGCAGGAAGGCATGCAGATGTGACTGAGTGGGACTTGAATTTTTAATGCAAGGCAACAACCATTCTCGGCGGAATATTTACATTCCGGCTCAATGTGAATTGTGTTTATAAATTAATTTGCAAAAAGAGAAATGTACGCACACCCACCACCCCTTAACCCCTAGCCATGTACACATCTATGCACCAAATGGCATTGGCAACCAGAACCAGTGAGTCGGGGATGGAGGGAGGTCCTGCTAAACAAGCACGCCTTTTGTTTAGAGGCCATTACGAGCAGGGAGCCATGGGCCTCTGTTTGACTGCCAGTGTCAGCTCATGTGGAGCACCGTCTCCAGGTCCTTTCTACAACTCCTACCGCTGACCCTCCGCTTAGTCGCATTGTTGTCTCGCTCTGCATGATACCTTGTTAGAGGGGCCATTGGCAGGCCCATTCCCGTACCTCGAATGCCAGTTACCGTAGCCCTTAGACCCATACCCCCTACATAGACCCGTGGCCGTACCTCAGCTGGTGTGACAGGTTGTTGTCGTCGTTAGATGTTGGACGCATGCTTTTGTTTCTTTTCGGTGTCCTCTTTCCGAGGGAGTGGGGGATGGCCCAACACTGCCACAAATGGGGGGTAATTTCATTTAAATTATGTTATAGTTTCTATGGATTTGGAGTCACAAATCCCAGGGGCTTAAAACTTAATGGAGTTTAAGCGCCAAAGCCACCTCACCCTCTGGTAGAGATTTGTAAATTATGAGAGGAGGGTTTGTCTTTTAATTTTGTGGTTTATTATACCCTTGCAGAGGGTATTATAATTTTGTCCAAAAGTGTGCAACGCAGTGAAGGAGACATCTCCGACCCTATAAAGTATATATATTCTTGATCAGGATCACCTCCTGAGTTGATATGAGCATGTCCGTCTGTCCGTCTGTCCGTCTGTCTGTCTGTCTGTCCGTTTCTACGCGAACTAGTCTCTAAGTTTTGAAGCTATCGTCTTGAAACTTTGCACACACCCTTCTTTTCTTTGCACGCAGTATATAAGTCGGAACGGCCCGGATCGGCCGACTATATCCTATAGCTGCCATATAACTGATTGATCGGAAATGGTATAACTTTGGTGTTTTTAGAGTTAGAGAGTTCAAATTTGACATGAGAGCTATTTTTGGCAAATTATTGTGACATGCCAAATTTCATAAGGATCGGCCGACTATATCTTATAGCTGCCATATAACTGAACGATCTGAAATGACCTAACTTTCGTGTTTTTGAAGATAGAAAGCTGAAACTTAATACAGATTCTATTATTGGCCAGTTGATCCGACCTACCAAATTTCATTAGGATCGGTCGACTATATCCTATAGCTGCCATATAACTGAACGATCGGAAATGGTACTTGGTAGAAATATCAACTTTCGTATTTTTGAAGATAGAAGTTTGGGACTTATTTTAGATTTTGTATTTTAGTAAATTGGTTTTATTATGATGTAATCATAAGGATCTGCCAACTATATCCGATGTTTGCGATATATATCCGGTTTTAACTGCAAGGGTATATAAACTTCGGCTCCGCCTGAAGTTAGCTTTCCTTTCTTGTTTTTTAATCATAAATTAAAATTGGCATCAATCTTATTGGTTTTTATATTTATTTATATATATTTTTTTATCTTAATAGGCAGAACCCTTAAGCCCTACTCAGGTACACAGGTCGTTTACGTAATTATGTTATTGAAAGTTTTTCGATGGGGATTTTCTAATGAGAACTAAAAATAGATCTTTAAATAATTAGATATTAATAAGAAAATGGAGAGGTTTTAGTAATAATTTCTTACAATACTGTTGGGGTTAAGGAATAACAAACCTACAGGGCGTATACTTCAATAAACCGTTGTACCTAAATTGCTCTTTTATTCTTATAAAAGCTTATATTAAAAAATTATTTATTTCTTGCAATAAAATCACAATATATGCGTTTTTTTATTGCTCTGACTATTAGCTATAAAATAATGTACATTCATTATCTCCAATGTCTGATAAATAAATGTTCTGGCTTTAATTCATTCACTTAAAAAGCTCTTCAAAAAAAAATATATTTATTTTTATGAAATTATAAAAAACCCGGAAGAACACTTAATTGACTTGAAAAAAAAAACAAATAAAACTAAATGAAACAAAGGCCTGCTGTATGAACATATGGTGGCCTATTTTTTCTGCGTGTGAGGGCAGGTAGGGGGGAGGGGATCGCAGAGCAGGGCGGGACAGCAGCTGCCAGTTGTCGTAAATATTTGCGCACAAAAGTCGGCAACGATTTGATGCACACGCACACGCTCACCCAGGCAGCGGAAGCCAGGAGGCAGAAAGCAGCCATCAAGCATAGCTGGCTAAGCCGAAACTAGCTAAGCAGGCCCGCACACACACACAAAAGGGCTAGCTTAGCTGGGGGCGGAGGCGGAGGGGGGCGGCTAATTTGCGCAGCCCGAATGACAGGCCGGGGCAGGGACAGTGGGCCCTCGGCCGGGGCCAGGAAAGGACGAAAAGGCTCTACAAATGCATGATATATTTAGGTTGCAACAGAAACCAAAAATCAATTAAAAGGAAATTATGTAAATTGGTTATAATTCCTGCTTCCAGCTCTTAGATTCTTGTGTTATTCCTTTGTTTTGACTTAAAATTCAATTGTTTTCCAAGCGAGAGCTTAATTAGCTCTCTGAGGAGTCCTTGCAGCTTAATAATCTTCCCGAGGCAGTCATTTCTTGCCAGCTACGAGTGTGGCAGATATATGAGAGTATTCATAATCCCCGTGCTAGTCCTGGGCCAGTTCCAAGTCTTGGATAACGGTGGCAATGCACGCACGCACTTCCGTGTGGCATCTTCAGCCATTTGGCAATGCAACCCAGTACGAGCGGCTTTCGGATGGGTTCGTGCAACATCGCCATGTGGCAGACTTCGGCCCTCGGTCTC